AAGGTTCAACTAATGCACGCACATGCATAATTATATTAAACGTACATAAGAAGTAGGAAATTCTGTTCTAGATGCAAAAAAAACGGAATGTAATTTTTGCATTAAAAGTAAATAAATGAAATATCGTAATATACATATATAATATCAAAATTTGCAACGGCATAACAAGTTTGAAACAATTTTAAACAATACTGAAACAGTACGAGTTTAATTTTTAAAACAATTTAATTTAATTTAAAATATTCAAATGCAATATTTTTGGTAAACGTTTGATAACGTTTTATTTTTATTATTTGTATTATTCTTCCTGTTGTTATTGATATCATTATTGTGATCTGTCATTTAATTAATCATGCGTTCTAATAATAATGTTATGCAATTACTCCTGGTTTTTACGCTCACAAATAGCTGTGCGCCTTACAAATTGAATGATTGAAAATATATATTGGTACTTCTGTAGTAATATTTACACTTGTCGAAATTCCATTTCCATGGCTCTCGTCAATTCCGCCATTCGATTATTATACCCTATTGGATGGTGATCTCATTGGTGACATTATACTTGATATCGATTTCCACGATCAAACAGGAATTCGCTTTTCAGTTCGTATACGATTCCGGGACGAATAATCGAGAATGACCGGAAGTAGAATAGAGATGTATCAATAAATAATCGGGTCAAATATTGGTAGATAATTCGATCTCATTGTGTGTCACTCGAAGATCACCTGCAGGAGGGTAATAAATTATTACACTACACATTTAATAAATAACGGCTTTAACTCATGTAATTATATATAATAATTGAAATCGAATAATGTCACTAAACGTGTTGTAACTTGATTTCCGAACAAATATCGATTATTAAACTATTTCACGGAGCTGTGCAAGAATAAACATCAATTTAACGGTCATTCGCTATAGCACATATCCACCCTATATCCTCTCGATCACACTCGTGACCAATATTCGCTTGCCAGTGTCCCTGCCGAAAACGCCGTTCGATCGTCAGTGTCCTTAATAATGAAATTTGTTATGCCTGGCAGCCATACGTTTCGCCGTGCGGTCTGGAGTAAATATTAAGCATATATTTTAGCGCCCCTGGCAACGCGCCCTGTGCGGGTCCCCACGGTTCGCTAAAATCCCGACGTCACCAAGTGCGGTGTGTGCGGTGCGCTGTACGGTGGCCGATATGGCGCGGCGGCCGCTGCTGCTCCAAAATCGATTTTGTCGAAATCGAATGGTCAAAATGCAACGTCCGCTCGCCGTCCGCTTTTACGACGTAACTAGATGCGTCGAAACCATTTGACATGTTATTTCTCGTTTTTTTTCTCCCCCTCCCCCC